TCACTCCCAGGGGAACTACTTCGAGGGTGATGGATGAATTTAATACCTGAGATAAGTGTACGGGTTTTTATACGCGCAGTCTTGAAACTTTCCGATCGCACCTCGTATAACCCCTAGTGTAATGTTTTCCATCAATACTATCAATGGAGTCAGACTGTCTATTTGGGAATATTTGTAGTAGAATTTGGTTTGGTTTTCAAACTGATTAATACCTGTAATACTTGGTTTCATTAACTCACTGATGATTTGGATTTAGTTTTCTATCCGAATGCCAAGAACACGTGGGTACATGTGTCCGAAGGTCTGAATTTAGCTCGTAATGCATGTTGTGTGCCTAATTGTTTGTTATGATATAATTTCCTCGTTTCATGCACTGATTTCCAGTGGCGCTGCCACATAAGATGGCTGAACGTCACCGCAGAATCGGCGTCGAGTGTGGATACCCTAAAGCTTATGACCGTACTTAAAGGCCACTGGACTCTATTCACTACGAGATGAATTGAGTCCGATTTCACGCATCCCATTCGTTTAAGGTCCATTTTAATATTGTTTCTCTATTTATGCCTTGTTCTGTCCTTTCTTTTTTGACTAAAATGTTGTGTGCGTTCTGATCTCTCGTCTGTGCTGTAGAAAAATATTTCTACATCATATTTGAGATTTTCATTGTTGATATATAGTCTTATTATGCACTTATTATAGTTATGTATATTGTAGGACCGCCACGGTGGTCTAGCGGTCAGAACACTAGCCTTGTAAGCCTGGGGTCCCGGGTTCAATTCCCGGTGGTGCTCAAATTTATAACATGTGTTGGGCAATGCCGTGGTCTATGCATCACGGAGTTTTCCTCCGGGGGCTTTCCCGGTTTCTCCGTGGCATCCATTCACACACAGAAGAAGGCAATGGCAAACCACTTCTGATCATCTCTGCCAAGAATGTATATATGTATGAGCAGGTCCCTGACAACCTGAAGGGGTTGGAAGGATCCTGTTCAGGAAGGATCCTGTTCATATGGACCTGTCGTCAGACAGAACACTACAAATAAAATAATAAAAAAAATATTATAGGCCTAATTTATATCAAAGAATGTGTTTTTAAAAAGTGTCCCTTATGAGAGGCTTGTGTATTGTGTCGAGGTAGTGGAATAAATTAGTTTCTTCAAATGCGGTGTCTCCTTGTGTGTCTGTTGGCGATTTATAGCGAGTTTTAGATGAATCATTATAGCCGTAACTGGGATTAATATTGCGTTATAGAGACAGTACATTACAGAGCCTACGATATTATATAGGCCTGTAATATGTAATTTTGATTTGAAATATTGGAATATTCATTATAACTGTTTGGGTTGGAAATATCGACTTGTAAGTTTTGTCCGGCCTCTCCGTATTTTTATCTGACGTCCGCGATTTGTTCTTCCGTCAGTCTGTTACAGTTTTCCCTGTGGTGTAGGCTGCACGTCTGTTAGTCTTTATTCTATTTTTGTTTTGCAGTCAATTACTTTAGTTGTCTTCAGTTTGACTTATAATCTTTAAAATAATTCATATTTATTGTTGATGATACAGTCTTGGAATATCCGGTATTCTAATTCGTGTTGCGTTCATGTAACACATTACAATTTTTTCACAAGCATTTCGTAGTATCGTAGGAGTTTATGAGCTGTTACGACTGGAAACGCCAAACTTTTTCGTACACAAGTTAATGAGTTCATTTGTAACACTGTGCTTTTAAGTCTGTTACTAAATTCGATTACTTAAGAATTTCGATCTGCAGTGAAAGGAGAAATACAGATTGGGGGTGTTTGATAACGGTTTACTGAAGAGTGTATTTGGATCTAAGAGGAATGAATTGGTAGGAGACTGGAGAAAATTGCGTAATGAGGAGTGTTGTAATTCGTACTTTTCACCGTATTTTAATGGACAATTAAAGGATATTGCGATGAGAAAGCAGATAGACGTTTGGTTAGATGAGAATTGGGTACAAAATGTTAGTTGGAATGTCTGAAACGATTAAACCATTCGGACGATGTGGACGTAGATGTGAGGACAATATTAAAATGGATCGGTTAGGAGGATGTAGACTGGATTGATGTGTCTCAGGATTCTGGCTGGTGAATACCGTAATGAACTTTCGATTTCCATGAAAGGCGAGAAATCTGTTCCTAACTGACACCGTCGTTTTCCCAAGGACTCTACTCCATGGAATTTGGCACTTTGAAGAAATAATATCCGAAAGCGAAACACATGGCAGAAGCACGTAGTTTGTAAATATTATTTTATCTGTACACTAATCAACGTTCCAATTGTGACAATGATGTATTTGCATGGTCAGCGTGTGAAACGGCTTTAAAAAATTTGTCATCGCATTCCTGTTTAATTAATACATCTCTTCCTCCAATGCCAGCGGCCTTCCTAGAAGCGAAGGCATTTTCAGGGGGGACTTAGCACTAAAGTGTACCTTTCCATGAACGTCTGTCATCACCTACAATAATTGAAGATAATGCAGTACTTTCACCCGTGTTACATGAATATAAAACTATGCGTATGTACGTAAAATAGGGAATATTTGCGGTTTCGAAGACAAATGTTTCTTCACTGTCTCCGATTGCCTTGTAGCGCTGTCTTGTCAAGCCGCCAGATGTTTTGACATTGGCTCGGCTTCATTGCAGTTTGTACCGGTCCAGTAGCCTGATCATCGGGTCGTACAGAATCTCATCCACGTTGGTGGCCCAGAGGAAACTAAGATGGCTGAACGATTCAGAAGGAACCAGGTAGTTGCCGACGAGGTTTGGAAACTGATCCGCTAGCCAGGACACGTCCTGCGACAATAAAAAGCATTGCTGTAGTCGTGTCTGGTGTTTATGAACGAAGAAGACGTAGTGTTTTTCGGATTTAGAGGATGGGATGTATTGTCTTGGGTCTCAAATGCGTTGTACTTTGTACTGGTAAATGCAGGAGACGAAAGACGAAAGTTATGGGTTCACTGTTAATCAACCTACCACGCCTCAGAGATTCTTACCAAAGATTCGTCGTAATCTGAGACTTGAAAGCACTTTCCTTATCAACTGAACTATTACCAACAGTGACCAGGGTGCGTTTTAATTTTGATCCGTAATATGCCGCGAAGAAAGGAGGAAAGAGACCAAGACTGATGCTGGTCAAGCCAGAGGATCCAACATACACGTTTCCGGTTTCCTGTCTCCATTTTTTACCTGATGACAAAAGCAGAATCCAGCTCTCGAAATGTTCCGATTTTATTTGTCTGTTATAATTTATATGATGGACAAGTCTAATAGAACAATTTGACACATGACAGTTCAGTAATTTTGTACTACGAACCAGATACAACTTGAATCAGTCGGTCACATTGCACAATAGTATGCCATTTCTTAATGCATATATTAATTTTCTATTCTGATTTGTGCATCGATACGAATTAATTAATGGCATTCCAATGCATCCCCCTACTGCGTAGAGAGAGATCGTTTGAACTGTGACATATTTTCTAGAGGACCCTTCCATTAGCAACGTTGTTACGTTATTTACAGATGGATGGTGATGCTTCAGGCTGAAGCTTCTACTTTAGAGTGACATCATATAAAGTACTGTGTATTAATTTAACTGTCACATTCTGGGCACTTCGTTGCTAAGTTGTTAATTTTAAAGTGTGTTATGGATAAATGACTACAATTCTGGTGCAGTAATTAATGATTATTTGACAGTTACTTGTTTTCATCATATTAATCTGTATCTAATATTAAATGCTGGAGTAATTTAAGTTTTATGTTTTATGATATGAAGACAAAGGTAACATATATCAAAATGAGATGGCTTTTATTTTTGCTGGATAATACAGAAGTGCACGAATAGCGTAGCAATTTTTGTGCATTTCCCAGAATTTCATCTTTGCGAATGGCACCAGTAACGTTATAGTTGTCAGGGGTCAGTGACCTCCGCGTGGGTGGGATGTATGACTACTTTGAATAGGTGATGTAATCACGGATGGTTCCCCACGTGGTTGCGCAGGCAACTGGGATTTCCAACCCAATATCCTCTGCGTAGACACGCCTGTGGGTCTTCATGTAAAGTGCCTCGTTATTGTAGCTCGATTTCAATCAAAATTAGAAGAGGTCGACAAATTTTAATAAAATTTCCAGCGTCACGTTTGATGAAAATTCATTCAGCTGTTGTCGTGCTGTTACGTGCGGACAGACAGACAGAGAGACATGGCGAAAGTAGTAGGTGCATTTTTGCGAATTTTAGTTACGAATGACCTTGAAATCGGTGATATACAATTAACACAGGTATCAAATTCAGTCAATAGAAGGGAGAATCTTTGTTTCATAGACTGTCTCAGGAAGGTCCAGGGTGGGATGTAATATAATAAATGTTGTCATTTATCGTATTACGTAATCCCTTGTCATACTTAGACGTCTGTACGAAGTCTGCTCACTATTGTGACTTCAGCTGCTTTGACGACTGTGTTAATTTGACGATTGCCTTTGCATATTAGTTGTGTATTGTTTGGCATAATTATATAATTGTTTTTTGTAGTTTCTATATAGTTATTTTGGTAGTATTCATTAGTTTCCTAATTTTGCGTCTGTAATTGGACATTTGGCTGTTGATATAACACATCAAATTAAAGTTGATCCATTATATCTGGACACGACCTCCAAAAAACTACACTACGAAAAATTGTAAAAAATTGTAATTGAGTTTTAAATTTAATATAATTTTACACCTGATGATGGTTTAATAAAACCGAAACATGTTGTAACTGTTCCAATTGTAAATCGATTATTCGATATGGAACACAGAATGATATTTTAATTATCTTATTTTAAATACATTGTGATTTGACGGAATAACCAAATAAATTAATTTTAATTTAATAAGTCACAATATGACGCAACTACACTATCAAGATGAATATTATTTTTAATAATATTGTTGTTTTGTTTTTGTTGTAATGTTGAACAGTTTCAGTGTAGAAAAAGTTTTAATATGTGAGTAGTTTATAGCTTGGCAGTTCAGTGAGAGTGTTGAATCATAAAAGTTCTATGATAATCTTAATCTCTGTGAAGAAAACTTGTCTGCATAGGAGAATTACATATCACATATTACATATCTTTTGTGTCCATTTGTTCTGTGTCTTGAAAACTGACCCCATAAACCACTTGAATGAAGAAAGTTGTACTTGTGTTTTGGAGGTTTAATTATTGGTAATAAATTCTGAAATCTCCCTGAGATTATAATTCGTACTTTACACACGTGCGCATATGCATATAATGTTACTCATGCGAAGAGTAGATTCATTACCTGTGTTTGTGTGTGTATGTATGATGTTAGCCGCATTCAACTATAGCTACGTTGTTTTCTGCATGAATTACTTCGTCGGATTCCTACCGTCCCTTGTAATTCAGTGTGGTATTTAGAGCAGTGATCGTACTGGTGTTAAGGCGACATTCGCACACTTGGCCGATTCGAACCTCAGCGACTCTAATGACGACTGACGATTCGAAAGTACTCGTGTGAACATCATTTGTTGATTTAGTGTACGTGAACATGACAGATCGATGCCGCATGTCTGTGTTTCTCGACATCGTATTCTTTTATCACACACTAAATTTAGTATTAATTATTTTTCCCTGTTTTTTTCTTTAAAAGAAACTGAACTTAAATATTACTTTTGTATTAGTACGAAACTTGGTGTCGCCCTAAGATAGGAAAACGCATAAACTGAGAGCGTTTTAGGACAGAGTGTTGAAGATATTTGGGCGTAAAATGGAGGAATAACAGTATTTTTCCTGTTCTGAGATAAATACTGTTAGTTTACCTGTGGATCCGTAAAGGGGTCACTGTCGCCACAGAATATCGCCACAGGAGAACTGATGCTGCCCAAAATGTATTCTGACGGTTCGGCGTGGTTATAAAGGGCCATGTTGTCTTCCAACCCATAATCGTACTTTGAAAATTTTCCTGAAACGAAAGTTTAAAATGATTTATAGATGGAAAATTTTAGAAACCGGGTTTGTTAGTTTAAAATGATCGTAAAGTGTTTTGTCTAAACACATATTCCCAGTAGGCATCTACCCATTTTGTATTTTGTCCCGAAACTGTTAGGTTAGGTGTTTTGAAATTTATAGATTATATACCCAGATTTTCTTTTGTGTCTGTTGAAAACTTCATTTTTCTTGCTTGTATAGTTTTGTTTAATGTAAGGGAATATCCAAAAATAACACTTGTTCGTTGATGAGAAGGTAATAGAATGAGCGATAATAACATATCATAGCTTGTTTTATAATTGAAACAATTCAACTCATTCATTACATACGTTTATCAGATTCTTATATATTCATGCTAAAGACTTAGGAAAGAGTTCATATGTTACTTTTGACAATATGTGGACACGTTACAATACATTGTAAACATGGCATAAAATAACGAAGCATCGCTGTTAGAATTTGCCGATGTCAGGTTGAAGGGGTATAAGCGGTTTAGGGCACGAAAAACAATTTTCGGAAAGTTGCAACAAATCATGTTTTTGTTTTTCCTAAAGGATTATAGGGATGTTGTTACAAAATTTACACATGAGCTTGGGGCTGACGTGGTTTTGCTGCGTTATGGGTGGCATCCCAACAATTACTCCATTCACACACAGAAGAAGGCAATGGCAAACCACTTCTGGATCATCTGCCGAGAACGTATATGAACAGGTCCCAGTCCGAGAAAAGGATGGAAGGATCCTGTTCATATGGACCTGTCGTCAGACAGAACACTAAATAATAATAAGATGAGGTGGTCTAGCGGTTAGAACGCTGGCCTTGTAATCCTGGGGTCTCGGGTTCGATTCCCGGCGGTGCCCGAATTTATAACTTGCGTTGGGCAAGGCCGCTAAGTGATCGTAGATGTAATACCGATCGAAACTTGCTGAAGACATCTTAGATATCTTAACTGAACTCAGATTTGCGAGACGGTATTAGATAAACACCATAAACAGTATATTACTGGGTGAGATTTCAGGTTCTCATGGCGCTGAGTATTAAAAAATCTGTCCTGTGGGACATTTCGCCATGTTGTATGGTAGGAGTTTACCGACGTTTCAGAGGTGCTTACAGCCTCTATTATGAGGTGAAAACATCGGAAGCAAACTGGCAAATTTCGTCTTTTGCCCTCATGTACATAAATTGTATTTCTACATTCTCTTGCTCGCAAGACAGACTCTGTTATGAATAGACGCATATCTGGGGCCATAAGGCATTTCATGTCTGCCTTAACGAACGGCTAGTCTAAAATATCGAATTCGCTCTAGGATAGTGGGTGTTAACCATCCAGTTCTGTTACGTTTTTCGGGTGTCTTCATTTTCGAGGTATCCGTTTTAATAGTCACCTTACCTTAATTTATTTCGTATGCAAATTACATGGCGTATTTTATGATTATTAAATGGCTTCTGCAAAGTCGTGGCTGCGTTGTCAGGGGAAGCATCGTGTGTGGAAAACTAGCTTCGGAATTGTCCCTCTACGTACCTGTGTTCATTCCTTGGAGAAAGTGCGACAGTGTTCTGGTGGAAGTCTGAGTCGGGTAATGCCCGAACAACACCGGCAGGAGAGTCTGCAAATGGGAAAGAACTTCGCGTGAATTGTGTGTAACGCCGCTGCGCTGTTTAGCATGCTAAGTGGCCGCTGTTACAAGTGCGACGCGCACATGCGAGATTACGCGCCCCAAGACACGCCGAGACGTGTCCTATTTAATGACACTGTGGTGTCCTACACTGGAAATCCATTAACGAGTAACATTTTGTTTAATAAAACCTTTTAAACAATAAGTTATGGGCTATTCCACGTGTAGTTTTCAGTGTATTCGCAACTGAAAGTTGAAAAATGCGCATGTTGGCTTCGTCATGTGTGTCTGTCAGCTTGTCTGTTCGCATGTTAATCCTTTGAACCGTTGAAGTTTTCTTCACTTTGTGTACTGTTTCATTTTTGGAAGAAACTCGGTCAAAAATGACGGGCACCTTAAATGGTTTTTTGCCCGAAGAGACTGGGTGGAAATCCTCAGTTTACCTCAGTTACCGTGGTTACTGCAATTGCATTGGCTATCATGTTTGCATGCGGAACCCCACGGGGGAAATCCCCAGCCGCGCAGTGACGTCACCAAGCAGACAGATGCCAGACACTCATCTGATTGAACCACCCCAGATAAATCTGACGTCACCGTCTGGCAACATAGCTTTTGTCGAAATGAAATTACTGACTTAGGCTTTTGTGTTGTGCCGTGTGCACATTTACCTTCTTGCTTCAAATGCATTACCGAAAACCCATCCGGCACTAAAAGATCACAGGTTTAGAATCTGTTTATTTAGAACAATTTTTCGCTTGCTACTTGAAAATTTTTAATAAATAAACAAATGAAATTACAATTAGGGAAGTACAACTGAAAACTCCAGGATCTGTTGCAGAAGTTCGTGATTACACCAATAAGAGTAAGGGTATATATATATATATGCGCACGTATCGTAGGTTAACCGCCCAGTTGAGCCCTGTATCTGTCTTGATGTGGGATTTCGTCATTATTTTTCATGACGAAAGAGATGTCTGCGTCTAGATGCGTTAGTATTACTGATCTAAGACTTGTATAAAGATTTTTGACGAACCGTTACATACTGTTGATCTGTTAGACGGAGGGAGGTAGTTAACAGTGCCATTACACTGTGTTATATGTTCTTGCAGAGGATATGATTAAATATCAGAATTCCCAGTTTATCACTTGCAATGTGGGTCTGAGGGCTGCAGTATTGTTCTTGGAACCCACCTGATTGAGTTCCTTGGAGTACCCGGCCACCGTGTGGAGGATGTTTGCACAGAGCCCCCTTCCTATGTATTGCTCCTCACACACTGGCTCTAGGCGTCGTTGTATGAGCTGAGGATTTGGTGGGAACCCGTGCAATCCGGAGTAGCTGCTGACTCCCTGGAGACATAATCAGTATTATTTCAGTATTATTAATCTGATGTGGTGTCTAACTCCAATTTTGCTCTAACTCTGAACCCAAAGGTTCAGCACCGCTAATGCAAAAACCCACCATTGTACCACGATATTGAGCGAATTCTATCTACGTAACTTCATTAAAACCTCACCCCTAAGATAATATTAATGTTATCTCTTCATCCCTTCGTGTCATTATGTGAGGATGCTTTCCAAGAGACTTTTACCTGTTTCTCCTGTATTCAAGCTGTATGCCCACTCCATAATTTTCTACGTGATTTTCATATCTTAACATCAGATGACCTGTAGATTTTACGAAGTTTCTTTTTACAGGATAATATACGCTTTCCTACATATTTATGCACTTTATATTCACATGTTTTTCTGGGAATCAGGTGTTCAGATAATTGTATTTTATATTCGTACCTTAGAGTAAGAGATTACGTTTCACATCCGTCCATATCAGCTTGTAATACTGTTTTATAAACTTGAGTATCTTTCGTGTTTGAAAGTAGAGGTGCATTAACAGTCTCTGAAATTAATAACGAACTTCTATTCAGTACCATTATTCTGAGTTTTAGATATATATAATTATTATGACTTGGTTGATGTTTTTACTTTTGTGATATATTAAAACAGCGTACTTAATTTTGTGTTTGTATTTTATTATTCGGAGAAAATAGACCTGTGTTTCCCAATGGAATTCTTTTCTTCTTTGACATATTACGTACTTGACTGTTTGAATGTCCGTGACTGTCTTGGATAATTGGAATATATTTATTGCTGGACAAAACTCTACGTAAGTATCTGTAGTCTACTGTCTGTGGATCAAGAGTGCGACTGCAAGCTATCTGTACTCCGTTTGTTCCTAGATCCTTCTATATGAGGATACATATATATAAAATTAACGGACTGTCAGCTCTCTCCTTCCAGACACGTGCCCCATCCAGACAGACACACAAATGCTAACGAAATATTGAGAGATTTCTTTTCGTTTTTTTATCTGTCCTCAGGCAGTATAGAAAAGTAGTTCTTGTTTGCTGTATTTGTATAGCATAAATGTATATCTGTTCGGTTTCCACTTGGGTACGTCTTGCAGGTTAATTTAGACTGCTCTTGGTTCGTTTGAATAAATATATAGTGACAGCCTCTGGCATTAATGCACTGGCAAGTGGAAAATTACTAGAAGAATAATGAATTCTTCTCGGGATACCAACCGTGTCAGGTGGTTTAATGGAGGAAACACCAACGTTTCGAGAACCACCTTGTCTTCAGGGTACTAGAAGAATGTGAATGGCGAGTTCTGATGCATTTGGGAGGAAGGTAAGTATTTACGCGAATCTTGAATTTGATTCAGGGTCTGGGGAGAATAAATAGACGTCTAGTAAGAATAGCCTGGATGTCCTTCTGTTTAGATCGAGACTTGTCTGTGTTATTGTTACTTTGGCACCAAACAGGGAAAATGTTCCTGCAGTCTCAGGCCTGTTGTGTCAAATCGTCATGTCAATGGTAGTGGAGTGACAAGTGTTGGAGTAGTACTTCTGTTTGTTTTTCACACTTTTTGAGCTGGTAACTGGCACATACAGCTATCTACGTCATGACGTTTAATCGATCATATATTACATTATTATTCAATACTTGTGTTTGGAAATGTTTCCTGTTATTAGAGACCTTCTTTATAAGCTTAGTTGGTGAAGACATTTCTCGTCTTTCATATAGTTAGAATATGTATTATAGTGTTCCAAAGAGCCCGCTAACTGTTCACTATCCTGTGCCAGTTTAATCTAGTCCTCCTCTTCATATTCCGTTTTGAGATTCATTTCGTATGAAAAATTAATGCTACATTTCCAGCCCGGATTAATACTTTATACCCGGATTTTAATCTGACGTTTACAGTCTAATGAAATTGGTTAAGAGCATGTAATGTTTGCACGTACAATGCAGGTCTACATTTTTAACAAAGATAATCACATCGTGTACTTTGGAAGCAATGCGCCAACAATTTTAAATTCGTACTCCATTTAACGTGCCAGTATCTTGATACAGTCGACTGCACATTTTTCGTTCTTATTTTGTATTCCTTCTTCCCTCCGTTCGCCATTCGGGGAAATATTTCTGTCCCTTAATGCCCAAATATGGCCCTTCAGGGCTTATTAAATGAATATTTATGCCGATCTTCAAAGCATCATCGAAAGTACAAGTAGTCGTATTAATATCTATATAAGATCCTTTTACATTTAATCAGTCTCTTCATCCTTAAAGGACGCATGACAGCCAAATATGTATGATGAAAAAGAATCTAATCTTCGTGGCTTCGGTTTGATCCATATTCAGCAAGGCAGCTTCTATACTCTGTGCTTCTTATGTAAAGTAATCAGAACTTTTAATACATTATAGAATGAGGCTTGTAAAATTAGACGATGTGCGGAATCAGCCAATCTCTACGTAAATGCAGTGGTTGCCAATATGTCGTAGTGGCTGAAACAGTTGCCTGCCATTGCATGAAATGTAATACTGTCTCTTTCTACCTCAGGTTTTATTTATGATGAAGGAAGATGGATCAGTTTCTTCGGCCTTACATTTTATCTTCCCATTACTCGTTCGTTCGGTAATGGCAACGTCATTAAAATGTCTGGGTCAGTAATTGAAGTTAAATGTATGAGATTCTGAAGCTTTTAGGCCTATTACGGAGGGGTAGAAAATATATCATCGCAAAATGTTAATGACTTCTACTGCCAAATTGAAAGAGCTGGAAATTTAATACTTTGTGTATCTATATACACCTTAAAATCTGACGTTATTTTAAGTATACGGATCATGTAGACAGACTGGAGTTATTATTGTATTCTTGAACTTAATTAAATGTCGAACATGCTTTAATATTTACAGGCTTGAAAGAATTTTTTTAAAAAAAAGGCAATTTAAGCGACCTAATATTTAAAATATTTCTACACTTGTAGTTTACAACGTCATAAATGTAACTTAACTACAACTGTTTCTTATGTAATCGTTCTCATGGAAAGTGGGAAATTTATATTTAATTAAGGTATACGTATTATAATGTGATATTTCGTAATTTAACTTTTCCGGCGAAGACAGACAGCTATGTATGACATTTATGAATTTTACTTTTGTACGTGCATGGGACAATGTTCTCTCTCCTCAGCATTGCGAAACACTGAATTGATCTCAGAAGAATTATGCATCTGCTTAAAAATCTTAAACCGAACTTTGAACCTTAACTGAGTTTTACGATTTCTAGACGCTCATGACACACGCTGTATACAGACAGAACTGAATATTGGACAAAAACAGAACGGGAATTGCTGTGTCAGACTGCCAGACCTGTATGAAAACGGTCCGGAACGATTCATTGCTGCAGGGAATCTGTATTTGTCTTGTTTAGATACGGCGATGTGCTGTACTGGTTCCACTTCATGCACCAATGCACAGGTTTTAACGTATTGGTAACTTTGATCTGCCCTATATTCTGTCTGAGGCTTCGTTGCGGAGTTCGCAGTAGTTTGGATACTTGAACGTTCAGAAGTTAGACTGCTAATACTCTACAATAAGCAGGTTCTTGTTAAGTTACAGTATAACTAGTACTACAGTTGATAATTACCGTGGTACCCAAAGATAATTATACCCGAAACAATAAAATTACTCAGACACGGTACATAGTCATGGCTCAACCGTGTGAGTTCTCAGAAATAAAAATGTATCAGCTCTTTGTCAGCGAGTGTATGGTAAACTTTAGCCCATCGAGTTTCTTACCAGTTGACTGAAACATGCGCCAGCCTCAAGTGTTCAACCTTCTGTCACGTTTCATACCTTCGTAAAGGTGCATCGCATGAAAGATGTGCCGATGTAGATTAAATGTCTTTGTGTTTATTTCAGCTAAAGTAAACTACCGATATTTTTACTTCAAGAAAAAGCTGTTTCTAGTAGGGGATTGTTTTCTCTTGTATGGGATTGAACTTGTATTTGAAATAAAACTATGCTTGCAGGTGTAGATAACAGAAGGGTATCTTCTTCACTTTTGGTTCATCCTTCACAGTCATTCATTCGACGTTATACAGCCCTTGAAACTAGCAAAGCGTACTTAAATAAATTAATAAGTGGAGTAGGAGAATAAGTAATGTCTTCACAGTGTCTCTTGAGATTTTACGTAATCAGTATGATGGCGAATCACTTACACATTACTTGCAGTGACATTTGATCCACGCGTCAGGATAAGAAGAGATTTTGAAAGAAATTTGCCTTCGGAGAATGTCGGAAATATTTTAAATTTAATGTTAATCTTTGGAGAAGCGAATTTTCGCACGAAATATTGGTCGGTATCAGGGGAACATTTTACACTATTTCTCTGACGTCCCTGTTTCGCAGGTGGTGATACACGTTGCTTGTATAAATAGCATGCAATATAATGTAAATCGTGTATGGGCAACTCTCGGTTTACGAACATTCACTATAACGAACGTCACAATTCATTCAGAATTTCTTAAAGTCGCCAATAGATAGAGTTTCTTATAAAACGAAAAGCCAAACGTATAGTGAACATAAATGTAAGATTTAAATTAATAAACTTTTAAAAAAGTATTTATTACAATACATACATTATAATACAACATATTTTATAGCTAATTCGATCTTTAGTAAAAGTAAAGTAAAGTTTGTCCCTCTATGCGCCATGTAGGCGCTTGGGGTGAGTGGAGGTATAGCTCCTCTCTTCCTTGACCTCGGCACTAGATGGGGGTGAGTGGTCAGCATCCCGCCCCGGCCGGCTTTACCCCCGGGAAAGGACCCCAGTACCCATTGTAGAGCCGGTCCGGACGCAGAGGATAGAGGAAAAATCCTCTGCCCCCGTCGGGGATCGAACCCCGGTCGTCCAGCCCGTAGCTAGTCACTATACTGACTGAGCTATCTCGGCTCATATTCGATCTTTAGTACAAGGTTTAAATGCTTTAAAATGGCTGCTAACGTATACGATACGTATCGTAAAAGCTCAGGAATGCAAAATACACATAACGAACAACGTCTTGGAACGGAATTCGTTCGTAAACCGAGATTTGCTTGTATAGCGAGACGATAACTCTTTTAAGATTACCTCCCGGTAACAAGTGATAAGTGCTGGAAGCAACTTCTCTGCCAAATCCCCGAGCGACACACAACGCTTATCGCTTAGGATGGCTTATTGCGTCATCCCACGAATTGTCTTGTGTGCAGAGCATCACGGCAGATAACAAGTTCGTGCTAAGTTAGGATATGCGGTATGCAATAATGATTTAATTCTCCGACATTTTCGCGAACCAACAATTTGGTTGGTTTGGTGTGAACGTTTACAGGAAAGGTGGCGGGCGTCGCGTATCGCTTGCCGTCAGTTGCTTTGGTACTTCGATATGAATTCTTCCTTACCTGCAGCGCCTTCCACAGTGGAGCGGAGTGTCGGAAGATGCTTGTATTGTGTTGCAACTTAACGACAGGTGCGAGAAGAATAGTAATTTTTAGTTTGTCGTTGTACTGCGGTCTCTCGGAGAGCATTACCACTGCGACAGTAGCCCCCATCGAGTGACCCACGAAATAGAGGTCAGGATGTCCGGTCACTCGCAGCACGTAGTCAACCATGGCAGGTAGGTCATACATGCCAATTTCGTGCCAGCTTGAAAACAGATGGCACATACATAATACAATAGATTACGGTGCATTTCACAGAGTACAGAATTTTTGTCTTTTGTCAGTAAAATTCTACGTTGAGATTTCAGATTCATTGGCGCTTCGGCGATAATAACAATAATAAATGCTCACAGCGTGATGGGCCGACATGCAGGACTTGACGAACGTGATTATCCGTAGGTGAGATTTCAGGTTCTGACGGCGGCGAGAATGAAGATAACTGTCTTCTGGGATCCTACGCCGTGCAGTCTGACAGAAGTTTATCGGCGTTTCAGAGGTGCCGATCGCCCTGATGATGGTGGTTGCAAGCACCTCTGAAACGTCGGTAAACTTTTACCAGACTACACGGCTCAACATCCCAGAAGACAGTCGTCTTCTTCATAATCCCTCGTATCATTCCGCGCCAAACAACGTTTGAAGTTAATACAGCGTCGTTAAATAACACACATTCCTTTCATTTGTGACGAAGTTAACAGATATTTTTCACGTCATTGCGAAACGTACGTGAAACTGCATTGAATGCACTCAATGTTATGAGGAACGCTTTGAGAGTAGTTATGTTTTGTAGTTTAGTTTTAATCTGAATCCGTCATACTATTCCTCACTTTATTAATGAGGGTACTGGGGGGGCCGCTGTTCGTCCGGCGGACTGTATGACGTCATTTCCAGTCTCCATAGCAATGAATGTCAGAGCAATTCATCACTGAGTAGCAATTTTGTATAAGGGTTGACTTCACATAGATTAGTATTGCCTTGCACCTGAATTAGTCTCAGATCACAGGATAAATTTCCGTCGAAAAGTGTTTCGAATCTACTTCACGAGTTTTATATTTGTTTTCCGAACTTTTATTCCAGAATATGTAGTTTCAGTACATAATTGTTTTTATTTCCAATACCAGCTTTTTCTTTTTATCACATAAAATTACAGCTTTTCGTAAGACGCCGACAAAAGGGAGTATGCTATGTATGTGATACATATACAGAATAATTCGCCACAAAGTCTAAAATATAAGGGTCAGAATACACTCCGTTTGAGTTATATAGAACGGACTGAAATTTACTGAATTTATCTGGTGTTTTGACCATAGTGAAGGGCTGAATGCTAACGCACTGTCTTATTCTTCAAAGTAGTTTTCCTTCAGATAGATAAGAGAAATGTTTATTTTTTAAATTCATTGGTATCACCAAATTTAGTGTAGGATCAGTTTGAGATACAAATAACGATAACGGAATCAAAACTACATCCCTGTATGCTAACGTGGGCTAACTTTGAGCATCAGTTACTTCTTGGTATGAAGTCTGACAGTGTGAGATTGAATCGCATGTCCGATTTTCTGGGCGGTTAAATCTTACGGACATTGAAGTCTAAGAATTTTCATATATCCACATATGTGTGGATTATGTAATGCCCTACGTGAATTATAACTTGAATTTATTTGTTCTTGTCTACCGGCAGGAATTCTATTTGACCAGTGTAGTCTTAAATACCCTAAAGATGATTTTGGTGCCATGCGCGTTACTAAGAACTCCTTCGTATATCCGATATCTAGTGTTTCCTAAGGTTAATTCAACCCCAACGACTCGATAATCGTTAAATGGAATTTATGAAATTTAAAATTTTCACTAGGGAATTTTACAAAAATATCTGGAGACATTCAGATTTCGCTGAAAATCTTGCGACAGTAAAGGGACTTTATATGGTGACCTACAAACGTTTTTTCTGGGAAAAGTAACTGGGATCGGAGACTACAGCCGAGAAATGCCTTCATGGATTATCATCGCCACCAGTGGAGCGCATTTACGTGGCGAATTCTGCGTGATGACATCGCCGGGACAGGCGACACTCCACCCACGCATCAAATAATTGACCTCTGACAATTCTGGCGTCACTGGCTCCATTAATAAAGGTCAAAGGTAAAATTCTGGCTAATCCATAATGATTTTTAGACTACGCGAACATTTCCTAACTTGCACGTATTTTTTCTTTTCATGTTTTCTTCAGACACGTGTGACAATTAATAAAATGCACAGTTAATTCCAATTAAAGCATTGGGAATGCATTCATTAGCGATGTTTGTGAACACTTGCTAACTTTCGGGTATCATGTGTTGCGAGAGACCAAAAGAGGGGAAATTTTTAATATATATGTTCTTGGTTTCTGCCACCAAACGTATCTGTCAAACTTGACTAAATGAAATGCCTCTTACCTGTAGTTCCAGAATTCTGGCTGCGTGTTGCTGAAATTTTTATGCCGAGTTGAATATATGGTTCCTCTTAGATTTCCCATCCACACATCATAACCGGCATCCGATAATTTGTAACCTGTGGACATATGTATGAATATGGATATATATGTAAAAGTGTAGTTAACGCTATCCGCAGATGGCCTGATCCATTGAAACTGGGAATGATTAGGCCTGTGGGCTTAAATCTTATCGGGACATGCAGTGTGTAATGCGTAAAAGCTTTGAGTGTGAAATCTAGTGTGGTGTAACGTGTGAATCCGAAGTTGCGTGCCAGGAATTTTGAGAATTGTTTTGTTTGTACTTCTTACAAACGTATTTAAAAAAAATGTTTAGAATAAATAACCATGAGATCGCTACACACATACTCTTCAGAAGGCACATAGCCTGTCTTCTTTAATTTAATCTCTAACCGGTTGTCTTGCAATGAAACCTTTGCCTTTGTTTCTGTTGTGAACATCACATTGTTCAAGTTTTAGATTATATTCAAGTACTTTTAAATTTTGGGCTGCTAAGAAGTGTAACTCTGAAATTTAATTGAAGATCCATATTAACCGCCTTTGTTTAAACAGAATTAAGTACGTATTAATGAGTTGTTTCAAATGTCCTTAAAGTCATGTTACGTAATTTATAATATACTAGAAACCAGATAGCTTCCACTTAAAGCATTTTAAATAGTCTGTTATGTTTTTGGCGGACATGCCTGACATAATCTAATCATCTTCCTTGGTCAGTTTAACGCATACTTTAAATATTTACGTTCCATTTCACAGTTAAATGACGGGTCATTTTGCATCTCCTTTCCAACACATGTTTGTTTTTGTGTGTTCTTTACGCTGTAAAGTGAGCGAAGAACACTTTATGGGCTCGTCCATAATAGTCTGTCTGTCATTGAAGTAGGAAACCAGCATTATCTGGTGTCACGTGAATTTCGTGTCATTTATTTTACGATTCCAATTTCCTTGGTCCGATTCATCGTCCAATCGATTTATGTTAGCAAATTGAGTAGAATATATTTAATATGGTTTATATTTTTGTCATTTTCAACAGTTTTCCAGAAAAAATGTTGGGATAGGACCTTCATGCGGGTGATAACAGCTTCCTGCTACATCCTTCCTATTTATCATGCACAGTCATCTTTATCGTATCTGATTGGACGCTACATGAACTTCAGTAGTTGACTGAATAGCGCGCAGTAACGGAATGAATAAATGCAAAAATAAGAGTGACGCGAACTTCAGTTAAAGATAGCCACTCATGTGTCGCGAGTGGTTAATTTACTGTTCCTTAGACTTTACATTAAACTCCTTAATTTATTTTCCCTGTCACCGAGGGTCACGTGTAGAATAAGTAAGCTTGCTTCAGGGATTCTGTCACCTCCAGGTGAAAGTTTTCGCTGTGTTGATCACCGAGCTGAGAACAAACACTGTAATACTGAATGCCCCGTCACCAGACTGTCAGAATGAAACATCTTGGAGGCAGGTGGAAACTTAAACTTTCTCACTTTATGAAAACGGAAGGGAATGGGACACAAGTGGAAAAGATGCATTACGGGTGTAAGTTTCTTCAGCCTTACCCACACCTCCTTGTTGACAGGGGAAATAAATAATCGGATTCCGAAATGTTAGTAATTCTACATTTTCATTATTACTTTGTAACAGTTTAAACAATTCTGAGAATTTCTGCGTGTTACATTACGTATGAAAAGGTAGATGACGTCATCGTGAGGCTAACGTACCTCGACACAAGTAATTTGTGTCTGTAAATGGAAAATGCTGGAACATATTGTCATTTTGGTGGGTGGGGTGTATATAAAGGAAGACATGAGAATTAGCTTTTCCAGTTAATTTGTTTGTACTCCCTGGTTTTAATTTCGCACATAACTCTCAGCTACTTGCAAGAGGCGTCCGGAACGATTAATATTAAAACCAAAGATTGGGCATCTACAGGTGACCGGAAGCCATCGTTGGCAGAGCGAATGAACCCATTCATGAGTTTCTCGACTGGTTCGGATAAAGGGCGGAAATGTACGAAGTGTTCCGATTGTTACTGAGAGTTTGTTTTGTCTTGTGTGGTGAGAGACATAAATTATTATTTTATCCTGTACTGAATAGAGTTGAGGTAATTCCTGATGACGTACCATGTCGGTAATCTTGGTCGATTACATTTCTTGTTCAGTTATGCTAAAATCGCTCTTAATTTTGAGAGCATGATCTGGGGGTAAGTACATTTTCTCTCACGGAAGCAGTCAGTCAGTGAAATTTATGGTTTTAACAAATTTAACTACCTACTTGGCTATTCTGACTGCGAATATTCAAATTTTCCTCAGTCCTTCTAGGTGTGTGAAACTTCGGATTTGGCCGCGGTCGCTTCCCCCCCTTCATTATTCATGATAATGGTCTTTGGTTTTATTACTCGCTTCACAAGCTTCGAAATTGTCTGAACCCCAAAAGCAGTAATTAGAACTGATTGATTTAAATTTGAAGTTTATGGAATTCTGTTAGTTGAAGTAAGCTTGAGATTTTTATGTATTGCAGACCAGAATTCAACTAATTTTTCAACGAGTAACACTTGAATTTAGGTTTGTTGCCGTATAAAATTGTCTTAGTCTGAGAAGGGCATTGGCATTGAGTGTGAATGCGAGACATTTTTTAAACAAATTCAGAATTTGGCGGGAAACTGTCTCTCTGGAGGATACATTGGGAGATGAGGTGTAGATGGTAGAATTATATTAAAATGGATCTTTGAGAAAGGTAAAGTGTGAAGAATCAACAGACTGAGGATAGGATTCAGTGGCGGACTTAACATGGTACTGACGTGGACATGTATATTAGTTTAATAAGACTAAGGTATTTTTTGGTCTGCTGAGAAACTATCAACTTTTGAACAAAGAAGTGACATTAAATTGATTGATTGGTTAGTTTAGTTACTTACTTTGCTTAGGTAGAATTGTAATACAATTTTCTGAATGATTCTGACTTGCATCATGGCCATTAAAATAGGTTACCAGTCGCTTTTATTAGGAGTTTAAACGTCTGCTTGTCTGGCTGTATCTTGCAGTACTTTGAAGCTGATTTCACAGTCTTACCCAATTGCAGAATTACTTCGTAAGCACTCGTACCTTTCCTGTACTTACCCAGAGCTTTGTGAGGACCGGTGAGGACCCAATCCAGCGAACTTGCCAATACACCGTGCTGAAGGAACACCGCAGGCTTGCCACTTGTTTCAAACGCGTAGTCTGTCCTGCCTCCTCGAGGTTCAGACTCTGTCCCAGCTTCATTAGAGTTGAGAGGGTTGTTGTCTAAAGGGCTGTGACGTCGGCGGAATTTGGCGCTGTAGGGGATTCGATGGAGGGTGAGCTGGTAGCCATCTTCTGTGACGAGTGTGTGGCTCTCCACGGGGTATCCGTGCCTGTTTATCAGCTCGGGCTGGTGATAAAAAACACAACCACTACAATTACAAGAACTTTAACTGTTATACTGCAAGTTGAAATGTAATTAGGGCGTGTTACGGATAAAATCTATATCATGAACTTGGACGCATTAGCTGATTTCAGATGTTTTTTTTTAATTTAATGGTTTAACACAGTAGTCGACCATGTTTATGTATTCCTAATTAAGGACCCTGAAATAAAGTATTTTTCCATATAAGTCCTCTAAATATTCTATCATTCTTTTACATGAAATTATTACTATTTTATTATGTGGACAGTTTCTTTGTAAACAATTTTCTCTTAAACATTTGGCACTAAAGTGAACGTACTAAACGTGCCCACAAATGAGTTTGTTCAGTGCAGTCATTGGGTCTCTGCTCAAAATCTCTTGTGTTCTTAATTTTATTGTGTACGTGTGTTAACAAGCCAGACTTTGAACTGTTGCGATAGGTCATTAAATTTGTTCCAGAAGTGCGTCTTAATTCCACAAAATGTGTTAAGTTCCTTTCTAAGAGTTTAGTCACACTTGAAGAGATTGCATTTTCTAATCCTGAAGTTTTACCGTGGTCTGATGCAGTCTGGAAAGGTATCGCCAGAGTACGGAAATACATATTGACTTAATATGAGCAACAGCGGCGAACCTGTCAAGAAATACTGTATAAAAATGATGGATTGTTTTTTGTGTTTGCAGGAAATGCCATTGCTTTCAGCTTTTTCATCCGTACTGGAACTATTAATATTCCTGCTTCTGTTGTTGAAGCCATTTTATCAGGCTTTATTCATTCAAAATATTTTCATTTAAATAATTCACACCTTATGAAATGACACAGTTATGTAAAAATTAACAATGATTTGCACTGTCATTGAGGTGGTTATCATGCAGAACTGTTGTAATGATAGATTTGATTATATCTAAATTTAGGAATACGGAGAAGAAATGTTTTTTAACTTCGTGAAGGGTAAAAACACGAAAGGAATTTGGAGATGTGTAAAATTAATGTTCATTCACATCTGTTGGACACTTACAATACCACACTAATCGGAAATCGGAAATGTAGAAACAATTTCTGTTCCTCATTTTCAGCGTCTTTTGTGAGATTCTAATCTCCTCACCCACCAAAGCCTTTATAAATGAAGTTGAATAACAGAAACTGAAGTATGACATTTCTTTATGTCTACGTTTGTCCTTAGACCTCAGTTTTAGTTCTGTTGTAGCAGAAAAACGTGTTTACTGCTGAAGCTTCTTCAGTCATCTGACTTATGAGCCTAACAGAACCTACATTTCATTGCCTCGATTGGAAGGAGCATAAATATATATAACAAGTTGGGAAATGTGCGCATAGCGTAACAATTCTGGCGCGTCCTCCAGAGTTGACGTTGGCCTTTGCCAATGGAACCATTGACGTCAGAGTTTCTGACACCAATGGCGAAGTATGTGTGGGAGTGGTGTCTGGTTCGGTGGTGTCGTAAACACAGCGGATTCCTCCACGGGATTCCCCATTTTTTTTTCATTTCCGCTCGGATAACCGGATATTGTTTTCATTGAAACGTCCATTATTGTCGGAATTGTAAAATGTCGACAAATTTTAGCAAAGGTCTCGAGTTGTAACATGCGTACAGATTAGGTGGTCCGTAGGGTTGTCGACGCTCCGAGAGGGAAAATGGAGGAAGGACATCGAACGGCATCTGTTACATTCGAAGTTGCGTGCATTCATAACTGTATATGGAGGTTGTGAGTCAGTCCGTCGCGTTTTTTCCCAGGTCCATTGGATTTGTTATCTCCGCATCCGCTGAGAGACTCCCTGCCTCACGTGCTTGTATTAGATCAACCGCGGAATTGGTTTTCTGCCGCGTGGCATATAACGATCAGACCGACGAAGAATATAAATAAACACTGGCACAGGAAGCTTGCGAAAGGGGACGAATCTTTTGCAGATATCAGGCCTGCTGTTTGCGTGTTTCTCCTGCGGTGGAGAAAAAACGGAATCTCCTCGTTAAAATAAATACACGAATGTCTTTGCCGTTGCATTGATAATCATAGCTATTATTTGAAATAATTACGTCTTGTATTTTGTTGCCTTCCACCGTACTGAGGCTGTTACTCAGAGCTCTTAGCTATTGCAGCCTAACTCAGTTTAGATTGATGGCACATTAGAAGAGGCAAATAGACGCCGAAAATGTTATTTAAATATTTTAATTAAAATCAAAATGTATTTGTACCACATTACGCTCTCATCATTTTAACATGGCTTTCGATTCTTTTTAGGAGGTATTCTCTTCGAACTGAGGGACGAAGTACTTTTTGTGATCGTAATTCTAATTCTAATTCCAGGCAATTTTCTGTGTAAGAATTTTAAGTAGGCCACATCGAACCACAGTCACAATATTTTGAGCAAATACGTGAAATCACCTTAACAAAAAGGGATAACATTACATAAATAGATCAACAGTGAAGAAGATTGGAAATATTTCTTGATGATCGTTTCTCAAATACGCCATGACCTTCTCTTTTAAAATCCTTGTTAATTACTTGGTCATCTCTCCATGCATGTCCCATACAGTTGAAACAGTATCGTTAAATAATCTGAAACTTCGCAGGTATAATCATCATGTTTTAATGCCCCTCTAATAACATATGTAGTTGATCCAGTGTCGTTAGAGAACGCGCTGAGTACTGGGAGCTTGAGTTCATGTTCGAACAGCGAATGGCGCTGAGGTCGGGGACTCAATTTCGAGGTTACTGGAGTGCACGGAATCGATAAATCGGCGGGCTTCTTTATTGCAGTTCTATTTTCGAGGAATATATTTTTAAAAGGGATCTGTTTCCGTTTAAATTTACTGCGTGGTTACACAATTTGCTCAGACGCGAAACACATTTAAAATTATAAAGGCTACTGGCTTTATGAATGAAATTACATGAAAACAGCAAAGGACATCGTGTTCTGACTCTTGACATCGGTTCATATCCGTACCGGTGCTGTGTGTAGAAAAGAGTCTAGTATGTTTTGTCACGAATGCCTCTTGGGTATACAAAGGGCAGCTAAAATGTAAATAAAAGCGTGAACGAGTAGATGAAATAACTGTTTCTTATTCTTCCGCTGCAGTGGATTATGCCTTTTAGGTTCATCTTGTTGAACATTTATTTCTAAAACGGAAAGCCAAACTTTCCGTACATGAGATCGGCCAAGTGACGAGCCTTTACTGAAGACCGAGGGTGCGATAACGCGCTGCTTGGTCAGGGCTCTCGTACGCCTCATGGATCTGCGGAAGTTGAGCCTGGAGCAATGGTGGGATTGTGATTGAGAGGGGAAGAATCGAAATTTTTGGAAGTCCTGCAAAAATGCCGTTTCGCCCACCACGAATCTCAGTTGTTGTCGCCCAGGGCCGAAACCACGAATCCCTTTAGAGATTTTGTAGGTCTTGGATGGAGGGTAGGCCCGTCCTGTACTACAGAGGAGACAACGTGCTACTTAGATCGGTTACGTTTTTAAAATAAAGACAGTTCATTGTACTTAAGATGGAAACTTGTTTTTAACAGTTGTACCTAACCATCCGGATAATGAAATAATTTACCCAGTGTTTAGTTCAGGATTACTTCCGGAGAAAAATTATAATGTAAAATAAAATTTAATATAGCAACTTGTAAACCATAGAGGGCAGTCAGTAATTAGTAATTAAATATTTTGATTCTCATATATTTAAGTTTTCGTGTTTATAACATAAACATTTCTTCATAGAAGTGTCTCTGATTTAGTTGTGGCTATTTATTTGGACACATGATGAAATACCCGTACCAGGTACGTATCTAAAACACGAAGTTTTATTTTTAATTTGCGGTAGGAAGTGTCACATTTTCTCTCTCCAAGTGCCGTTCACCTCTGCAAACCTGTTGTATCACACGGACAGATGTAACACTTGTCACAAAACTACTTACCGTTGTCTGGAATGGCTCGTAAGACTGCTGAACACTCAAGGTCTGATGTCTTGTCGCCAGCCAGATGACCCAGTAGAGCCTGATGGCCGGGTTCGTCCACGCCATTAGCGAACAGTCCTCTTGCCAGCGTCCACACTTTCCGTATCTCCACGGTTATACAACTAAGAAATGATCACAACAAAACTGGTTCTACTTATGCACAGTCACCTCTTTCTATCCTGATTTCTTTTCTCGTAATCCTTGCAAAAAAAAACACTTCCCATACACGGTTATGATACTAAATAACCCACTAACATTACCGGAAGAATTCGCTAGATTTTTAAAACCTTCTAAGTACTTGATGTTAGTTGAGGTTATCGTAATTATTGATATGACTTACACCTCCTTTTGCTAAGTCCTCGGAAACGAATTCAGGTATCAGTCTGTCACATGTATCGTGAGAGGTTAACTAAAGAGTGTTTGAGCAAGTAGGTACAATGCCACAAGTTGGAAAGAGACGAAGAGATTGTGTTGAGGAGTAGACGAAGAAAGATGACTGCAGGAATTCTTGGCATGTATGTGGGTAGAAGGAAAACCGGTCCGTCAGTGCTGACAGTATTGTGAACAGTCATGGCCCTATTTCCGACGTACCTAAAAACAAACAATCAAAGAAAATTTTTTTTAAGATTGACACGCAGTGCTAGAAATTAGGTCTCTGACATAGTTCAGTGGTATCTTTCAGATCTGTTGTGTTCTCCGGGCTCAATGAAGGCGGTTATGGTTGAAGCACCCTAATTAGGAGTCAAACGGAGAAAGTAAGAGTTATCACAGCAAAATACGTGTTCCCTGTTTGCTCGACTCTGCAAAGGTTTGCTGAGAAATGGCCAATTTGTGATAAAAATAATGAAGTTAGTGATTACCATTCAGCGAGTTAGACACTCGATTTAATAATTCTTGAAAGAACATTTGTGACAGTCAACTTACTAGATTAATTACCTCGTAATTATTTGGACGTTTTCTGTTGTTTCGAACTCGATGTATGGGACGTTGGTCTGCATCCATTTTTGATTGTTTGCCACCATAAAATATATATTATCATTCATTAGAGGTGCACAAATTACGTTTGCATAAATAGGCATAATTATTTGGGCTAGCACATGAGGGTTACGTCTTAAAAATAATCTAGATGTATTATTGTAGTGACAGCTCCCGAAACGTCGTAAAAAAAACGAAGATAGGGCTGATGGGCAGTATAAATGCGGTATATGATCAGCCGTCATAAATTACTCAAGACTGGGGGAAGAATGAAAATTGGATCAGTGAAGTAATGTCCCCATTTCACTTTGCCTGAGATCCATAATATAATTAATTACATGGTGCAGAGGAACGCGGCTATGTTGTGCTCCGTACATAACACTAATATACATATTTAAATAACTGAGAACAGGTTTTAAACGCCAGCATACGATCGGCAGCTTCGAGTAACTGAGGTGACGTCACACGTCTTTGAATTATAAAAGAAACGAATATTGTGTATGATCCATAAAGTTAATGGAATTCGCCTTCTGATGTTGGACAGTAATAGAGTTTATGGCAGCATTATCTTTGCATGTCTTTGAGAATTCACTTCTTTTTAAGTAAATTAAATGTGAAAACATCTTCACGACGACCTTAGTCAGACTCCGCCAGACCCCACCGCGCGCTCCACACCACAGCCACCTTCAGAAGTTAATTTTCATGTTTGTCTCATCTCACGAACGGCACACTTGTACATTGAAGCTTGACGGACATTGGCTGTTGTGCATTAGGAGCGTATGCCAAGAGTGCTTAAAATGAGCGATTTCTGATGTTGAATTTGAAATAATGTCAAGGGAAGTGGTCATGTAATACTTTGAGATTCTTTCTCGGGTTTTGTTTATAGGACTGTGGAAAACCGCAAAATAGTCAGGAAGTTCGGTTTTTGAACAAAAGTTCGAATCCAGGATCTCCCGATTACGAAGCGTTATCACTAACGAGTAGGCCTACGCTGAGTCTTTCGTTCTCAGTGGTCAGTGCTCTTATGTTATTGAAGAAACAGGTTCGAATCCTGACTGGTTATACTGGTTGTTTCCCTAGGCGTATGCTAGTATATTATATAACGTAAAAGAAATGACATTTCTCTTTTCTATAACTTTCACTATCAATACTTACTTATTAAGCAGTTTCCTCCAGTTTTCTTTGGGAAACAGACGTTCTGTTAACTGGTCTATGACGAGTAGCTGAGATGAACGTTTTTATCGGCGCTAGGGTCATTGAATGTTGCAGAATGCAAATTACTGGCAGTCAGAAAGAAAGAATAAATGTTGTGTTCAGTTTTAAAAGCACCCGTAGCTACTACACATGAACCCCTTCACGCACAAATTGACGAAAGCCAATTGAAGTGTTGAATTGGTGCAGCTGATGTACGGCGGTAATTTGAACTGTTTTGTCGCGCGATGAAAAGTTGTCACAGACAGACACTTAATGTCTACGGAAATTCTGTTTTACCAGTCTGTGTAGTGTTTCTTATTCGCCACTTATTTGTTAAGATACGCACTGCTGGATTCTTCACGAACAGCATCGGACCTTTTCGATGTGATGCAGTGTTGCAGAATGGCATCGTTTTGGTCGGGATCTTGTGTCCTAAGCGGCCTGGCAACGAGAATGACCTTAGCCCTAGTGAGGATGGGAGACAAAGAGTCACATGGGAGTGACCCTGGTTTTGTCCTAGTTTTTTTTGTCGTAGTACGTGATTGGTTTTGGGTTGCCTTTTGGATGTTACTGTTTATTTTATAAATGTGTTTTCTGTTGTCTACATCAGTGTGGCGTGATTTTTATGCAAATTGTAGGATAGTAAACTTACGAATTATGAATGAGTGACCTTTAAATAGACGACAGCGCCCTGTTTTAATATTTCTGACTGTCGTATCATTGGACTACAAATAATGAGATCATAAAATATTGCGAAATATAACCACGAAATTTAAATTGCCAATTTATAACTTGTGTTGGGCAAGGCCGTGGTCTAGGCAACACGGAGTTTTCCTCCGGGGGCTTCCCCGGTTTCTCCGTGGCATCCCAACAATTACTCCATTCACACACAGAAGAAGGCAATGGCAAACCACTTCTGGATCATCTGCCAAGAACGTATATGAGCAGGTTCCAGTCCGAGAAAAGGATGGAAGGATCCTGTTCATATGGACCTGTCGTCAGACAGAACACTAAATAATAAATAATAATAATTAAGAACCATTTACTTTAAGATGGCTGTCTTATGTGTTGTGGCACCATGTAGTCTGTTTCAGGCAGCAAGAATTTCTGAAACGTTGCTAGTATTCTATCAGACATAATGGTGCTACAACCCAGAAGACAGCCATCTTCGTGAAAATCTCAGATCTTACAACCGAACCTTGTCCAGATGATACTATTGATATCATTTAGTATAATGGTACCAGTTTACACCACTGACGAAGTTATAATGTGCTTGGAAATGTTCAAACCTAAATCCGTCCTAAATATTAAGTACGTGGCTGCACTTCCGAGGATTTTTCTACCTGTTCGAGTGTTAAGTATTATGACACCCCGTTTCCCGATATCGAACCGAGGGCAATAATGCGACCCATGGAATGCCCCGATTTACTAGCTAATGATCCCTGTTTTCCTTTTCTGAAGTTCTGGTACTGAACCTGTTTGATGGTTTCATTCCGAAACGTTATGGGGGTACTTGCAGAAGGACGTGCGTGCTTTTTAAATTTATTTAGAAACTGAATTAGAAACCTTGCAACCAATTGAAAATTTTAGTAGGAATTTCTGTAATCAGTGCACGTATAAACGACCTCTAAAAACCCTAATTGCAAATGGAAAGTGTTGTCTGCATGAATCGGGGACATTTTCCATGACACAAACGGAGAGACGTTGAGGCTCGTTTACGATCTCATTGCTTTCGCATCGCCACTATACCGGAGTGAAAACTGTATATTTGTCCATAATAACAGAACTTAAATTGTTTCAGAATTACTTTCTGTAACACCTTGCTTGTTTTACGTAGTTTTTATGTGAAATTGTGGCGTTTCTATGTGCTTTTATATCTTTGGTTGCTGTACTGTTATGATCGTTATCATGGAGCGTGACCTTATATCACAAAGAAGTAATTTATTAACGCCAGTTAAATCACTTAATGGTTCGAACATACTGGATGTTTTAAAATTGCAAAGTTTTTAATAAAACTAACAAAGGTTTATAAATTAGGCGTTTCATAAAGTTTGCATTTTTAATGAACATTTTCGATTTCGCATGCCTAATGGGAGATGAAATAAGAAGGCGGGATGGAGTGTTTCTGGCAGTCAGCCATTCAGATTCTCTTCCACCGCGTTAAGTTCACTGCATTCTTCCAGTCAGTGTACTTGTATTATTATTCCCTGCTTATTGGTCTGATGGAAAATCTTTGTGTTCGTTGCACAACGCTGTGGGTTGTATCTGCTCTTCAGGGCTTATGAACATTGGTTCTCAGTTCGAATGAGATTCAGTATAGAACTGTGTATTTACATGTTTTTGTATGGGCGTGAAACTTCATCTGCATAATGAGGAGATCCATAATTTGTCGAATGTTGCTGTTTCTTTAGACTTACCGATCGTTCGATATTCTAAAACGGAAACTTTACGTTTCGGGAGCAGGCTGTGCTGTCGTCTTCAGGTCGACTGTTTCAATGCTGAAAGAGAAATCCTGCGATTAAATATTATTTAAATTTATAAGTGTTTTAATGATATTGGCTGTCATTAGTTCATGTTCTGCGTTGTTGGCTTTAATGGTTTATCAGTTATCCCAATAACCTGGATGATAGAATTTATATTTCGAGTGATTTCATGTTAGTATTCGGTACAAAACATTAGGCAATGTACCAAAAGTTACATATTTATTGATACCTAAAAGCTGAAACTGAAATGTAAATACGAAACTGGGTTGCCTACATTGGCATGTATTCATACCAAGGACCTAAAAGTTTAATACCACTCATACCAAACCCCGCCCTTGGAAACTATCCCGAGGCATGGAAGTAAACAAAATTGTATTGGAATTTCAGTATTGCATAACTGTCGGACAGGAGATGTACGAGGGAAGGTAGGAGAGACAGAGTTTTATTTTATCCTCGTCGGTCTAGAGACCGGCTCCGTTGACTGAGTTTTTATTTATTTGTGGTTTTTCATGTTTCCTTCAAGCAGACGCCTGTATAGTATCTTAAAATAGACCACTACCACTTCTGCAGCCTCTCCAATTTACTGTTCATTAATCATTCCATTATTCGATGTTTTATAGAGTGAGGTGCTCTCAGCGTCGTTAAAAGAATCATGAAGAAATCAACAGTAACGTTGGCAGCACTGAGAAGTTTGTTGGCTATGAGCAATAATACG